TACAAGTCCTAATGAGGATAGCAACATTTTGCAAGGATGAATCTGTTCATAAATGGGAGGACCGTTGGCAGTGCGTTATCATTGCACACTGACCTGGAGCACAATGTGTCTCTCAAGCATGAAATTCGCCTCGTGAAGAATGCTGCAGCGGCCCTGAAGGAGTCAGAGGTCAGCGGTCTGGGGTTAACAAAAGGTGAGAGACGGTCGAGCGGTCGCAGGTGAAGCTCTGAGTGGGATGTACTAATCTAACTGACAAACTATTGTTGCTCTCTGACCAGGTTCTGAACCTGCTTAGCAGCCTAAGAGATTCCAGCTTTGTTTAAGTGGCTGCCAAGGTTAACAGCAAGGAGACAATCTACAGGCTCTCTCTGCTGTCCAGCCTCTATTGTGAGAGATGTGACCATGAAAAGCTGGTAGTTGCCAACGAGGGTAACAGTTATTACTGTAATTGTTATAGCAACACATAATTTTTAATTAACTATTATTCAGCATATACAATCCATTGCAATAATTTGTTGTTTTTGGTTCTTTATTTGGGGTATGCAGGAAAAACAATTTTGCCTTAATGTTTACTTTATCCTTTGGATCGTAAAATGTCATAATAGGACATACAAAAATAAAGCTTAATTTTATTATTTACTCAATGTAATTACACAAGTTTGTCTACTTCAAATTTAAGCTGTTTAGTTATCACCTCCACAATTTAAAATCCTGACTTCCATTGACGAAATGTCCTCTGTATTGTTTACTTAACTCATTTAATTTTTTTAGGAATATTGGTAGCTAATTTGCATATTACCACTAGAATGCATTGCATTAAGGTTGAGGTTACAATTTCCCAGAAATGTTTCTGTGATGTGGAACAAAATGCATAATAGAGGCTGTGTGTGCTTCACACATACATTTTAGAGCACCCACTCCTCTGGCTGGTCAGATGCAAAACTGTTTTTAAGTAAGGCATTTGAATGCAGTACTGACAGGGGTCATATTTAAGATCTGTACTCTCCTCAAGTTACTTTGATTGCTGGGATGAAGCTTTCCTCAAAAATGAATGTATTTTTTTCAAAGGGCAATCTGAGCTTAATTGTAAACCAGAGATTTCAGGCATGCAAAATAGAATTTCTTTATTTTTAATAAAGACATGTAAAATTCTGAGTTTTTATAATGAAAGTGTTCCTCTCCTTAACTCAAAGCCTAAACTTGAGAAATTAAGTCAATTTTAAAATCCATGTTGCTTTGAAATCCTGAGATTTTGCAGGGAAGGAGTTTCCACCTGCCTAATTTATATCTCTTTTCAGGATTGTGTGGGTGTAAACAAACCGTGAATTAATTGATTATAATTAGTATTATCATTATGTTAGAATTACAAAAGAAAGGAAAATGCTCTTAAATCAAGACATCACTGAATGCTCTTGTGGGATCATGCATTTAAATAATTAAGTCTGCAAATTAATTCCAAACAATTAGGTCACAGATGATAATTACATACAGTAGGTGTAAATAATAATTAACCTGCTTTCATTCTAAAAACAGACAGATTTTGTTTAAAAGAGGGGGGGGATATGCTGTTTTCCTTTCTAAAAGAATACCGTCAATAAAAAGGAAAGCTTTAACTCCTTAACGTATCACCCCTGTAATTGCATACACCAACTATAACGCCCTATCCACATGTATCACACCTGTCTTTTGGATTTGTGTTGATTTTTTATTTTTTATTTTAAACCATCCAACACAACATCCAGACACTAGATATTGTACATTTGGGACTTTTACTATTTGGTTTCTAGCTATATTCTTCTCTGTCTTCACCATGGCCTTCATGCCATGTCGTGACATTCCTCAAACTGCACACGCTGCTCACTCACTGTCTGCAGAAACACAAACAGGAGATGTCTGCCAGAGGACTCAAGACAACCTGCAGTACATTTTAGATCACAACCATTAATCTCATTACCATAATGAGCTTACACCACACCCATTTACCCTGAATGTCAAGAACGCTGCTGCATATTCCAGAGGGTTGTAATGTACACAATTGTGAATGCGCTCTCAGTTCAGATGTTTGTATTAACATGCTGTGTTTCATAATACCCACTACAGAATCTATTTCTTATTGCATCAAGTCGCCTTTACGCTACTTTTTAGTTAGCTTTTAGCTTCACTGTAGACAACACCTACAATGTTCAAGACAAAAAAGCACATTTTCAGCATAGTGACATCAGCCTACATAAAAAATGCTGTAGACCTCTAAGCAGCAAGCCAGAGCTGCCTCCCACTGAGCTGTAAACAGTCACATCCTGGTGGTTTTACACACACAGCAGGTCTCTCCCAGCCAAATTCTCCCTCACTTTGTCCCCAATTAGCTCACTTTCAGCTCCCCACTGCTGATAAGTCTTAAAGGGCAGCAGATCACCAAAACAGGGGGGATTTACCATGTTTAAACACACAAATCTGTGATTAATATTAAGTGGACTCGTCATCGGATAGAGCTGGGTAGCAGAGAGTTCAGTGAAATGAACAGTGGAGGAATTTATCATCCCCATCCAGTGTGGTAAACACTTTAGCCTTGACCTTCCCCTTCCACTGTTGATTGGTATTGGACGTCAGCCGTGTGTTTTGTTTGCAGGCTGAGCAAAGCTTGTTTTGTGTGTGAGTAGTTGCTGGATGACTGCAACTCTGGCCGTCTGGAAGAACGCGACAGCACACTCAGCCTCAGGACTCATGGAGCATGAGTCAACAGTGAAATGGCCATACACACATTTTCACATGGCAATGACTTGTTATCAAAAGCCTGGATGGACATCAGAATGATTCTGTTTCATACAGAATAGTTCTACAGCAAATGCAACGAGCAGTCTTGAGGACACTGGTGTAACACTTAAATGCATCAGAGGCATGCAACACTATGTATGGGAGCAAATGGCAAAGAGACCATGTGACACCGCAGTACAGTGACATGCAAAGTTTGGGCACCCCTGGTTGAATTTTCTGTTAATGTGAGCAATTAAGCAAGTAGAAGATGAAATTACCTCTGCAGCCCTTTTCCTTTTCTGTTATTTTGAAAATGTAAAAGACTGAAATAAAAATTAATTTTGTTTAAAATGTAAAGGGAGCATATCTTCTGTAAGTTCATGTCTTTTGAAGATCATTTAATCTTCCACTTGCTTAATTGTTCTCATTAACAGGGATTTTGACCAGGAGTGCCCAGACTTTTGCAGGCCACTGTATATATGGCCATAAACAAAATAGTGTAAAATAGTGTTCCATTTGTAAGTGTACAGTTATGACACATATAGTACTATGTGTTGTGTGTTCAGGAGTGCAAATTGGAAAGCACTTGAACTGATTTAAATTGTATGGATTATGAACACTAGAGACAGGTGCAGGTTAAAGGAAAATTACAAAAAAAAAAAGTATTATCTTTCACAATATATGAACTGTGGGTATTTTAAAAATATATATGTTCAGTGTATTGTTGATGGGGGAGAGAATGGATAGGATCAATCTAAAATTAAAATGTCATGTTGATTTTAAAGCCAGTCACATGTAGGTTTGCTGTACAAGCACCATAAATGGTTGTTTGTTTTCAGTGTTCATGTTAGTCATGTGATGACATGTCTTCATCATAATTTAAATAGAATTTTAAGTCCAAACTAGTATTTTTTTTAAAGAAATTGCAAATTTAATTAAGCTTCAGATAAAACAAGTGAAATCCCCCTTGAAAGGAATTTCCTCACTTTGCTAAAACCCAACAAAGCAGATGCACTCATTTGAAAAACTAGCTTATCTACAAAAAATGCTTAATTAAATATTTTTGATCAAATGATGGAAACCCCATAAAATGACTGCAGCAGAGAGAAGAAAGGTGAAGTGCATTAAATATTGATGAATGTTTTAAACAGCATTTGACCCCCAAAATAAGGGCAGTTGGTGAGAAACGTAGACTACGAGATGTACCTCTTTAAGCCCTAAAATTCTAGTGCATCCACTTCTGGAAAATGATTTCTGCGTAATTCACGGACGACACTAGGTGGCATCAAATAACTGCAGTTCTGACTCCGGTGTCTGCATAGACTGAGGTACTTATTTGCAAATGAAATGTGAGCTCTGGTATACATGTCTAGTTAGTAATGAGGCAACGGTTTGACTGAATCACAGCAAGTAGGTTGTTATAGTCAAGCAGCCAGTACCACACACACACACACACACACGCACACACGCACACGGGGGGGGGGAGACAAACAGAAATGACGGTGATGGTATGAACTCTCGCCACACTCCGCATTTCCATGTGAAGCGCCGCCGCTGCTCCCAGACCAGATCCTAGTCGCTCTGACTCCGCCCCAAACACGCGTCACCGAGTCACAGCCGGTGACGCGAGGACGCACCACTCTCCTCCTCCGTCCCGGAGCAAAGCATCATCAAAATCATCATCCATCAGCCCTTCTCTGTCTCTCGCTCTCTCTTCCCCTCTCTCTCCTCCGCTGTCTTTTTAATGTAACTTCTGACTGATCGGGAGAGCAGGGAGCGTCTGGAAAGCCTGGTCCGGTGACTCCATGTCTGATGAAGGATCTGCTCTCACGGCATTCTGTTAAAGGCTGGACACACACAACAGAAAGGATCCGATTGTATATTTTTGGGATAACGTTGCTTCCCCTGGTGGATTTTGGCTCTGCCTTTATTTCCCCTCTCTGGATGTTATAGTGCATTATAACGCTTTGAATGAAGCTGTCTTTTTGGATTTCGATCGTGCCGAAGCTGTTTCTGGGTGACTGCTCTTTCTGCACTTGAGAAGTCGCGTGTTATAATTTTTTTTTTTATTGCTCTTATCTTATGAGCTCTATTCATTTTATTTTGAGCTGTAACTTTTATGTAATTTTGTCAAACAATGCCACAGTTTCCTTGAGTGTGCATTAAGTGATTCATGCCGACAAGTCGTGTGCGTTAATTATCGCGTAAAAAAGAGGAAAGTTGGGCGCGCAAAGTTTGAGACGGTCGATATGGCTATGGTAGCGTGGAGAAACACCGAGGGCGTGGGGGACACTCAGGGGACCCTCTCCTCCCCGGTGTCCCAGGTTGTGCCTCTGTCTCTGCCCGGGGAGCTGTCGGGACACATAAACCCGCCGCCCTCTCTGGAAATTCCCCAGGCGGCAGCAGCAGCACCTCCAGGAGCGCCGCCGTCCAATCCGTCCGGCACCGCCGCCGCCGCGACCACCGCCACCACCAACAACAACAGCACCTCCTCTTCCTCCTCCTCCTCCTCGTCCATGGACAAACAGCAGAGCCAGCAGATCGAGTGCATCGTTTGCGGAGATAAAAGCAGCGGGAAGCACTACGGACAGTTCACGTGTGAAGGATGTAAGAGCTTCTTTAAGCGCAGCGTCAGGAGGAACCTGAGCTACACGTGCAGGGCCAACAGGAACTGTCCCGTAGACCAGCACCACCGCAACCAGTGCCAGTACTGCCGCCTCAAGAAATGCCTCAAAGTGGGCATGAGGAGGGAAGGTACGGGCTGGCATCCTCCTGTTGTCGCTATCGGTATTATCACATGATATCATCCAGCACTACATGGCTCACGGATCAGTCGCACATAAAGCTGTTTCTTATTTTTCCTGAACACTAGTTTATTTGATCTCATCAAGTTGTGGCTGCTGGAGGCTCTGGCCCAGCGTCCGTCCACCTCCACCGCGTCTCTGTCGAATTTACGCGTGTCCTTTGTCTAGTCGCTGGTGTTGTGGAGATCCAGCCCTGCTCACATTCTGCTCACTCCATCCTGTAGTGGAGGCAGCGGGAGCCATCACACAGATTAGATCTGCAGCTAGCATCCAGTAGCATGTTTACTGCTGTTGTTGTTGTTGTTGTGTGTCCGTGTCATGGTCAGCGTGGAGCTGTCACAGTCGGCAGACATCTTAAATCCAACATGTTGGCTTCGGACACATTTTACTTTAGTTTAGACGCTTTATTTCGTTTAGATTGTAGCCATGACGCGCGTGACGCTTTTACAGGATTATGCGTGGACTGTGTGTGTGTGTGTGTGGGTGTGTGTGTGTGTGTGTGTGTGTGTGTTGTCACCTTGCATTCATTATGCATGCTGCCCGTACAGGCCCAAACGGAGCTGCCGTTAGCCTGCTGCTGCCCTAATAACTGGGTGCTCTTCAAAAGTTATAAAAACTGTTTCAGCGTGAATTTAAATAAACTTTCATAAAGAGTCGTGACCAAAAATGAGGTTTAATTAAAAAAAGCCCAGCCTGGTAGGCTGGAGTCCCGATAAACAGGCTACAGTAGGCCGACACAGACCAGTCAGTAGAGCTACAGGCAGGTATTCAAGAAACAAGTCGTTTATTGAGTGAAATTATTTCAAATATTATATTATTTTTAAAAAAAGAAAGAAAGAAAAAAAAACTTGTTTTAAGCGCCACAAACATGGTGAGGAATCTCTCACGCCATTATGTGCAGCTTACCGGCCACCGAGCTGAGGGAGACCGTCCTCCACCAAAACTCTGGTTTTTCTGAAGAAGCAGCGGACCATTATGAGCTGAACTGTAATGGACAAAACTGTGTGTGTGTGTGTGTGTGTGTGTGTGTGTGTGTGTGTGTGTGTGTTTGGGCTCGAAGATATTTTTGCATGTTTTCACTGACATTATTGACGTTGGTGCTGCAGAAGATGGAGCTGCCGTTTCCTCCAAATGTCGCCGTTGTTATTTGCGCCCTTGCAGCCTGACGTGGCCTTTCTGGTTCTGTGTTGCAGCCGTCCAGAGAGGCCGGATACCGACCCAGTCCTACCACGGCCAGTTCGCTCTGACCAACGGGGACCCTCTGCAGTGCCATTCCTACCTGTCGGGCTACATCTCCTTGCTGCTGCGGGCCGAGCCATACCCGACCTCCAGGTTCGGCTCTCAGTGCCTGCAGAACAACAACATCATGGGCATAGAGAACATCTGCGAGCTGGCGGCCCGGATGCTGTTCAGCGCCGTGGAGTGGGCCCGCAATATCCCGTTCTTCCCGGACCTGCAGGTGCCGGACCAGGTGGCCCTCCTCCGCCTCACCTGGAGCGAATTGTTCGTCCTGAACGCCGCCCAGTGCTCCATGCCCGTCCACGTCGCCCCACTGCTGGCCGCCGCGGGACTCCACGCGTCCCCGATGTCCGCAGACCGGGTGGTGGCCTTCATGGACCACATCCGGGTCTTTCAGGAGCAGGTGGAGAAGCTGAAGGTGCTGCACGTGGACTCTGCAGAGTACAGCTGCATCAAGGCCATCGTGCTGTTCACCACAGGTACACACCGTGCACGGCCCCAGTGTGTGCGTGTTTGTAGCAGAAACGTCCACGTTTCAGCATTAAAAATAATAAAATCACATCCAGTCACAAATCTGAACAAAATAATATCGTCAGGATCAATGATCAGTGTGTTAGACTGCGTCCTTGCTGTGGTGTAGAGGAGAAGGCTGCGGAACTAAAACGCTTCACTTTTTAAAATACTGGAAACCATCAATATTTAAATATTTTTTTAAAAGCCATTTTTAAATAACGTTGACCAAAAAAGTAGGATATGTAAGGCTGCCTCAAAATATAGTTATATTGAAACCGTAAAATGATTTAGGAAAACCGTGTGTTTATATAACATTCGTTAAACGCGTATTTTTGTGGTGAAAAATAGGATTAATGCAATCCAAAAACATGTATTTATTTGAACATAAAATATTTTATTAATTTCAAAGTGATTTCAAAGTGTCACTTATTGGATTAAAAAAAAAAAAAAGAAATAGAAGAAAAATATTTAATTTAATACGGTGTTTGCTTCAGAGCAGTATTCCCTCCATATAACTTACGTAATTTCTTTGCTGTTGGCTCGGATCTGCAGTGAACCTACATGACCTCATACAGCTCGTCAGCCCTTAAAGCAACAGTTCACCGCTATACAGTCTATTCTTCTTATTCTAACATTAAAGGGGCAGTGTGTGAGTTTAGATGGATTTACAAATTGTATAAAATCCCTGCTGAAGTATAAAATATTTTGCGTGTATCAGGGTAAAGCATATGCAAATAAAAGCAAAGCGTGTGTGTTTAGAATTTGACTCCACTTAATATTTTGTTTCACTGGCGCTTCATATAAAAGGCGTATCCGCGAATTACTTCATCAAATTGCTTCATCAAACACAATTCTTTATACGACTGAAAATGTGTTTTTTTTGTTTTTGTTTTAAGCACAAAAAGAAAGTAGAACTTTGCATTTGTTTATTGATTATATATTATAATACATTAAATAAATAATAAATAAAATAAATTAAATTAATTAAATAAATATATATATATACACGGTGTATTTTATTTAAGATTCCATGTTTGAGTTTGGAAATTTTAATTTCACAAACAACCTTTTTGATTGCTGTTCCCGAAACTGTTGCTGGGCACTGCACAACAAAATGTGTATTTTTAATAACACTCAGAAAGATGTTTGATGGCTGGATTGTGAGCTGGATCTAAAGGATGAGTAGCTGCAGAGTAAAAAATAAAAGAAGGTCTCCTATGTAGGTCTATTTTAGTCGCCATGAGCACATCTGAACACGTGTCTTTAAACTGGGACACAGTAACCGTTCTTTAACCCCTGCTGCCATCCGGCCTGTAACGCTTCAGTACAGCAGGGTCTGCTGTGTGTAGGAAGGCACAGGTCCTATACAGTAGAGCAGTCAATGAACTGGCTGTGCTGTGACACTATCTTGTGTTGTTTTCTTATGTCTGCATAATGAACTTAATTTTTTTAGATTTGATGGCAGCATAAGGGCAATCCTTGATCTTTATTTGTATGCAGATATTTTAAAAATCATGCATAGCAGAAAATATTATTATTATAACACTTACGCACTTATATCATATTCTAATATATAAACATATATATTCTATTACTATAATGTACATTATTACCGCTGACTGGTTTATTTCTTGTTGAATATTGTACACTGCAGGTGCTTTATATGCCTGCTTTAATGTTGTTGTTACTGTTTCATCCTGACTAGTCAAAATCTGATGATTCTAAACATTAAAAATAATAATAATTTTATATATATATATATATATAATAAACATTATTAAACATTTTGCCACTCAGCCCATTATTAAACATTTTGCCACTCTGCCCACCTCCTTTAACGTCTCAATATCCTCCCTGTTTTATGGATTTAATTGCCTATTTGGCAAACCTAAATGGGTAACAAAAGAACTGTGAGACCAACATGCATGTATGAGACTTCATTTGGAATGCAGTGTCTTATAGTTTGACTAAAACTAACTTAAACTGGCCACTGGCGACCTGGTGGCTTTTAAGAGGTTAAAATCTTCACCAGAGATTCAGTCAGTAAATAGTTTTCTTGTCCTAAAATATATTTTATTTCTGTTTCTGGTGACTTTGTGATTAACAGTAATTATTCTCCCATTTTTCATGTGACACTGTATCCACCGTTGTTGTTCTGTCTTCCCTGTGCTGTTGTGAGGTGTTGTTATTTTGTGCCAACAGTGACAAACGTGACAATGTTTTATTTATGATTTTGCTGCTGAACCCAGGTTGAACCGCTGGTCTTGACTGCTTCTCCTCCTGCCTGTTGTTTGTCCCTGTGTCATTCTCTCTTTCTGCAGATGCTTGTGGTCTGTCGGACGTGGCCCATGTGGAGGGTCTCCAGGAGAAATCGCAATGTGCATTAGAGGAGTATGTGAGGAGCCAATATCCTAACCAGCCTAACAGGTTTGGGAAGCTGCTGCTTCGCTTGCCTTCCCTCCGCACCGTCTCTTCCTCTGTCATAGAGCAGCTTTTCTTCGTGCGTCTGGTGGGAAAAACCCCCATAGAAACTCTGATAAGGGACATGCTGCTGTCTGGTAGCAGCTTCAACTGGCCCTACATGCCTATTCAATAGAGGAAAAAGCTGCTGTGGTGCTTCTAAGGTCAGGAAAGGTCCCACACCTCAAATCAAGTCATTTCAGAGAGTGCAGTGTAAAAGCTCTGTTGATTTAAACAAGGGAAAAAGCTGCCAGTGGAATGAGATTATTAAAGGCATTTTAAATGTAAATTTTTAATTTAATTTAGCTATTTTCTTGATACCAGAGAAGCAATCCGCCTTATTCTGCATTGCGTGTCTATGTTTCTGCAAAGGCCCCTAAAAAATATGAACTATGACGATGACATAAAACGGTCTGACCCCACTGGCAGAATTTTTTACTTGTTCAAAGAGAAACGATATTTCCTGAAATGACTGGTTATGATGGACACATTTTTTGCAGTGTGGTGACCTCTCACAGTCTATGGTTTTTGGGATAACAAACGATATTTATTGGACCTGTGTGTATATTTATCGTGCTTGTAAATTATGTTTTGGATCCCTCTTCTTAATGTTTTACATATTTTTGCCCCGGCTAGTGAGAAAACTGCAGGGATTGTCTTGTGTTGATCTGTTTTTTTTCTGTTGTTGTTGTTGTTGTTGTTGTTTTCATACCTTCCAGACATAGCACTTTGGACTAAAGGAACATTTGAGAACGATTTAACACAAGTTAACTTCAGCCTATTTGCTCAGTTGCGTACAGACAGTAAATTGAGATTATTACTCTGTTTTGGTTACTCTGGATTCTTATTCTGTTTTTTACTATCAACATATGAAAAATGAGAACAGCAAAAAATATTTGGAAACTGCGCTTCTCGTCGTCAGTGTTAGGTTGCACCAAGTAATGCATTAGTTGTTAATCATTTTGTAGGTAATATCACTACTTTTTTTTTTTTTTTTACTTCAGTACTCCCATAAATGAATTAGTGAACACAGGTTTCATTGGCAGGTATAATTATTTACCTCTTGCCACAATGTTCAATTTATACTCTTTGCCTTTAAAAACAATATTTTACAGTAATTTATTTCTTATGAAATTTGTGAATTTTGTCAGCATTTCTGTTATTCCTCCTCTAAACTGAAAGATGAAGAAATGACTAGTTACAGCAAAGTTGAGCGAGGCTGAATGTTAGACAGCTGTGCATTAATCTGATCATTTTATATCTAGAGGGGTTAACGTTTGAATCGTATTCCTCATGACAGGTAACATCTCACAGAGAAAAGTACTGACATTACGAGATTAACGGCAAATGCATTACCAAATACTTCTAATTAACTTACGTCGCAGGACTTGTACACTGACTTCCTCAGAGACATTTTAAATAGCACTGGCTCCGACGTATAAATACAATTTCTTAATGGGATAAAGTGTACACAACTTCCCAGACCAAGAAACAAATCTATTTCATAATAACTCATGCATTTATGAGCCCAGGCCACTAAATGGCACAACAGACCACTGCAGGGTATTGCTGAATTGAGAGAGAGAGTGTGTGTGTGTGTGTGTGTGTGTGTGTGTGTGAGAGAGAGAGAGAGAGAGAGAGGGAGACTGTGTGTGTGTGTGTGTGTGTGTGTGTGTGTGTGTGTGTGTGTGAGAGAGAGAGAGAGAGAGAGAGAGAGAGCATGTGTGTGGGTGAGTGTCTATTTGTGTTTACTTCTTTTTGACAACCACTCTGATGTACTGTGAAAGCATATTGGTTAACATATTGGTACCGTATTAAATTATAACTCAAGATTTATAAATAAAGTGTATTTGGTTTATTTCACCATTTCACTTGCATGTTGTTTATGATTGCCACCTCAACAACACACAACAACTGTGTTTACATTTGTGTGTCAGTAAGCACGTGCACTCGTCTGTATTGAAATTGAGAACAAAAAACACAGCCGAGCAGAGCTGTGTGGTGCTGTGGAGTCGGTCTGTGGCTGTAATATTGCCACCAGTTGGACATTTTAATCAAACTAATTGCTCCCACTGACAGCTTTCTGTGAATTTCAGGATGTTTAAAATTTTGCCTTGTTTGACTTTGTGCAGGAAAGCATTTAACTTTTCTCATGCATTTTGAACTTGATCAGCAGTTATAATACATGTACAACTCTAAAAACTCACCAAAACAGAACAACAGACTGCTGAACCTGCATGTAACATGCATTCATTTTAATTCTGAAGCAAGTTTTCAGTTTCTGAGTTGATGGTTGAGTGTATACTATTTTTTTAATGGAACAAATACATTCTTTGCATTTTAATAATTATATAAAAGTAACAACAGTCCAAACACAGAAAAACTCATATGATCTTGCAATGATTAGACCAGACATAACGGTTCATATACAAACCGAGGATAAAAGGAAACTACAATCCCCATCTTTAGGAAGTAAACACACATGCTGTTCTCGTGTAGAGAAGTCTGTTTTCATAGAACTTAAAGCAGTTTTTACAACTTGTGGCTAATTTACCACTCCCTTTTCGCTGTAAAAGCTTCGATCAATTCTATCAAATCTGAAAGGTGGTTAAACTCTGCATAAGAGAGGAGAGCTGAATGAAAATGGAGTTATAATCGCGTCTGTGGTGCCAGATTGAAGAGGACAGAGAGGATTAAACCAGCTTCTGTGCTTCTTAGTGGACAGAGAGCTAATGAGGGGCCCCTGTGTGCTCTGTCACTACAGTTTACCCTGAGGAGGATGAAGCTGGGTGCTCCACGGTCCCTGGGTGTTCTGGGCCAAAGGGCCAACATAAAACAATGGAGCATTTTCCCACACACGTACAGGTCCAAAGAGAAGAAAATGACAAAGCCTCTGTCGGCTGGTGGAGGAGGAAAACCCGCGGAGCTCAGGCTGAGCTCTCTGAAGCCCTGCTGCTCACATGGAGTTAGATTTGCCGTTGTATTTTTGTCCCTTGTCTTGGAGCGCGTAATAAGAGCAACCTCGCTGCTGTTTTCGTGGCACGGAAGCGGCACGGGTTGGACTCAGCCAATCAGCTTTCAGGAACCAAAAACCGCAGCCAATCACATTACTTTTTAATATATATATTTTTAAATATCAATATTCAACACGTGAAGTGATGACTAACTATTGAACCAAGATGCTCAAGCCCACAGAAAGCTTTTCCACATTAGAATACAAACAATCAGAAATAACAGCTTATTGATTAGGTTCAATAATATTATCTATTGCTATAAATATACAGCTACTTAAAGCCGAATCGCACGGAATTATTTAATTGTAATTAAATTGATGCTTTGGATGAGTTTTCTTAAAAAAAAAAAAAATCCGTAATATTCTACATTAAAATTCTTTCGACTTTTTTTTAATGATCAGGACCCTTCTAGGAAAAATCTCAAAATGTGCTCAAAACAATTACAAATATTTTTAACCGACTACATTTCTGAAAAATAAGGTTTTAGGATTTAAAAAGAAATTAAATGTGTTTCCAGCAGTCACTGTGGTCACCAGTAGTGTACAGCTGTGCGTCCTTTTGTCTGTTTTCCATCTGTTAACTTTAAATGTAACCCACTTGTATTATTTTTCTCGTATTTTTGATGTTGACTTTTACAACTTTTAGAGTGGTGAAATAAAGTTAAGGAATCGATATAATTCTAAGAAAAAGTATTAATTGTTAATGAATCAAATTGCATTGGTTGCAGGAACGTGGCTGTTGTTTTTAGGGATTTAACAAACTGTGATGCAGCTTCTGAAGCTGTTTCAAGTACAACAATAATTATCACTGTCAAATCTATGATCATGTAGTTCTGATTCGTAGTATTTCTGATTAAAATCCGATTTCTACACCGCAAGGAAGCTTTAAATGATACATGTTTAACGTTCTGAGGCATCTTAGTGTAGTGAAAACAATCTATTATATCATAAACAAATGCAGGGGATTTTTAAATACATTTGGTTTGAGAAACTAAAAGATAACAACACTCCCCTCCTCGCAAAAAAAAGCACGATTCCGCTTTTCCTTTAAATCGTCCTCCGAAAAGGAAAAACAAACAACAAAATAAAAAAAGATAAACAAACAAATAAAAAAACATCGCTTTGTAGATTTGTCTAAAATGATCCTGATCTGCCCCGTGGACAAGAAAACTTCACCGTGGATTTATTTCAGTTTGAAAACCACCAGTCAGTAGAAAAAAAATGTGTCTGTCTATTGTGTTCCTGGTGTTTCTTTTTTAAAAAACCTCTCTTTGCTTTGCGTCGCTCATTACAGGACTGCTGTCCGTCAATAAGTGAGGAAACGAATTTTTAGAGGAAAAAAAAGAAAAAAGGAAAAAAGCGCTGACAGACATGTGGAGGTGCTCCTGAATCAACGGTGGAGCTGCTGGATTACGGCACCGACACCGGACGGTCACTTTACACATGTTTAAACTGAATGTACATTACAGCTTCTGTTATATTCTATCATTCTATCGTTTTTTTAAATTATAGAAATTAATTAAAAACATACAATTTAGTAGATTAGCAATAAAAAAAATTAGTCCCGACTTAATGAACTTCATTCTTCTGTCGACAATGCAAAAATAGATAAAGATTTTTTAAAATCTTTTTTTTAAATAATAAATATTTACATTATTTATTTATTTTCTCTTATTTTTTCTTTTCAAAAGTCTGGATGAAAATAAACATTTGTTTTTGTAACGATACATATGAACCGTTAAGAAAGTCAAGATGGAGGGAAAATGAGTGAAGCTGAAGTTTCAGTGCAGGAACACAACAAGTCAAAGTAAATAAGTTAGCTGAGAAATAGATGAAAAAGTAAATAAATAAATAAAACATTCTGCTGTGTGTGTGTGTGTGTGTGTGTGTGTGTGTGAGCTTCGTTCTTGGTTTGTGGTTTGTTATCGCCACACTACCTTTGATATTCACTTTATATTTAAGTACACATCCTGTTTACATCTGTTACATCATTATTCGTTTTTGCGCTTTCATTGTAAAGTGTGCGGGTATGACGCACCGCTGCCCTGAACTTTGTCCCATTGAGGAAATAGTTGCATACAGTATGGATATTGTGGCTTACCTTAATGCCTTTAATCAGCCTT